CCCCAAAACCCCAAAACCCCAAAACCCCAAAACCCCGTTTAATAATTATTTGGCTGAAGTAATGGACACCAAAATGTAAACACCAAAAATTAGTATTTGAGTAAAATGGTGTTGGTTGGTAGACTGGAAGATATAAGAGAGGAGCCTTCTCCTCTGCATTCCAGAGCATGCCAAGCTTAATCATTTTTTATTATCCAGTAGTACTCTTTACCCACTATTTCTATGAAGGGTGCTGGATTATAACTTGGTAGGGATTTAAACCTTCCCAAATATCAAAGAAATGCCATTAGGTATCATTGGCAACATAGATGCCTTCTTTATTCAAGCTAATCAATACAACTAGCCTATCAAAACCTCCCAATACGAGCTTCAAAGACTCTTAAATGCTGATTATTTTAATAAACTCTTCAATAAAGAGCTTATGCTGATCAATATGTCTACCCACACTGGAGCTATTGATAGCACTAGTACCCATATTACCAGCTTCAAGACCTCAATGGAGTCCATGATCAGCCGTCAAGATTGCAAATAATTGTTTTAGGCAAATGCCCTCGAATAAAATAATGCTAAAGGCTGTTCGCTACTTATCGAATAGTTAATATTCTCTAAAAGTCTCTTCCTCGAATCTTTTTAAATAAAAGCTTAGGCCGAGTAGAGAGCCTCAAAAAGATATTTTTGAAATAAGGGAAGCTTGAGAAATATCTTCAAGCTTCAGGATGGGAGAAAGGAGGTAGTATTACTGCGTTAGCAGTAATACTCCTCACAATTCTTCCCAAAATGGTAACTAACTCTATTTATGAATCAAAGCGACAACTTTTGTTTTTAATTTTTAGCAATTTATTAGATTAAGTTCTCTCTTAGCTAAAGAACTGTATCCATGTGCTCAGCTTGGTCATTTATTCTACCTGGGAAGCCAATGGGGTGCTGAAGTCATCTCTCATTGTGAGGTCAGTGCAGGTGTTCTCTACGGTCCAGATTGGATCGACATCATCAGCGAAGTAGTAGTTGGTGTTGCAGCATTCCTCTCCTAAAGTATCTACTTGGCATTCTTCATCATAGAAGATGTTGTCTCCGTAATCAGTCCAGTTGTATTCATAGGATGATCCATCTTCATAGAGGCAGAATACATTGTAGCTACCGCTGATAGTGTTGTCATTAATAAGGCATGGATCTTCTGCTTCAGCATCATCACCAGCATCATCTGCTGGAGGAGCTGCAGTGTCATCGGCTGGTGGTGCAGCGGTGTCATCAGCTGGAGGGGCTGCGGTGTCATCAGCAGGAGGAGCTGCGGTATCGTCGGCAGGAGGAGCTGTGGTGTCATCAGCTGGAGGAGCTGCGGTATCGTCAGCTGGAGGAGCTGCGGTATCGTCAGCTGGAGGAGCTGCGGTATCGTCGGCTGGTGGGGTAGCAGTATCGTCAGCTGGAGGAGCAGTAGTATCATCTGCAGGTGGAGTTGCAGTATCATCAGCTGGAGGAGCAGCAGTATCGTCAGCTGGTGGAGTAGCTGTGTCATCAGCTGGGGTAGCATCGTCGGATGGGGCAGCATTGTTTGCTAATCCAAATCCATTTCCTTGTCCATTACCATTTGCAAGTCCAAAAGCATTTCCTTGTCCATTTCCTGGTCCATTTCCTTGTCCGTTTCCTTGCCTAATTTGGAATCTCATAGCCGAGGCAAAGGCCAGGATCATCACAAGTGCGAAGATTGTTAATTTATTCATTTAATTAATTATTAATTTCCAGAAAATTTCTCTTTTAAGGGGTTTTGGGGTTTTGGGGTTTTGGGGTTTTGGGGTTTTGGGG